GAGGTTGCAGAGATCCACCCGCAGCCCCTGGAGGAGGGAGGTCCCCACACCGGAGCGGGCGGATGCCGAGAAGGGACTGTGTCCAGCAGGAGACCCATGGAGAGAGAGGCTTTGCTCCCGAGATGGAACAGCCTGGCCTTGGGACTGCACCCAGTGGACGAGGGACCCCACGGTGCAGCAGTTTTGGGACGACTGTCTGCCTGTGGGGGGACTGACGCTGCAGCAGATGTGTGTGGACTGCTGCTCGTGAGAGTGCAACCACGCCGGAGAGGTTCACCAAGAACTGTCTCCCATGGGAGGGACCCAACGGCAATGCAAGGGAAGGACTTCCCCCCCTCAGAATCCTCAGGTGATCCAGTGATGAAGGGATCAACCCCACACCCTGAACTGATCAACCCCACACCCTGTTCGCCCCCTGCTGCTTTGTACTGTCGATGGGAAGGGGGGAGAGAGGGGGGAGAAGATCGGTGGCTTTGAGGGTTTTATTTTATTTCTCATTCTCCTCCTCTGACTTTTTTAGTAATAAATTCATTTCATAACTTAGATAGAGCCCATTTTGTCCGTCAAGCGTTTCCACCCTGCTCCTTATCTCAATTCATGAGCCCTTTCGTTAATTTTTTTTTCTTCACTTTTCTCTGCCTGTGGTGGTGGGGGAGAGCAAGTGAGCAGGTGTTGTGGGTGTTTGGCTTTTGGCTAGAATTATAAACCATGACAAAGTGGTAATATAAATAGGAAGACAAAGAAAGATAAGTAGATGGAGAAATGGAAAAGGATAAGGCAAAGGAGAAGGAGAAGCGGAAGGGGAAAGGAACGTGAAGAAGGAGATGGAGAGAAAAAGAAAAAGAAAGAAAGATGAAGATGGGCAAGAATGAGCACAAGGAGATTAAGAGGAGCAAACACAAAGAAGGAGAAAAGGGGAAGGAGAAGGGATAAGGAGGGCAAAATGAAAAAGAAGGAGAGGGAGGAATATAAGTAGAAAGAAAACAAAAGAAAAAGAAGTACAAAGAGAAATGGAGGTAATGGTGAAGAGAAAAGCAAAGCCAAAGGAGAAGGAGAAGGATGAAGACACGGACAAAGACATGGAGCAGATGACAAGGCAATGTAATTTACAAGGCATAGGGAAGGGGAAGCCTCCCTCTGCTTCTCCTTCTCCTCCTTCTTTACTGCTTCACCTAACTTGATACCTTCCATTGATTCTCTGGCTTCTATTCCCATTTCCTATTTGATATAATTTTCTTCTCCACCTTAACCCCCACAGTTCCCTTACTTTTTCTATTTTACCTACCCCATGACCTTCCATTTGCCTTTTTCCCGGAGCTCCCAGGAGCACCATTTCCCATCGTATTATTGAAACAGCCCCATCCCTGGGATCATACTGACTTAGGAAAAGAAGGAAAAGAGACAAGACATGGATGCAAAAAAGCTTTATTGTGAGGAGAACGAGAAAGGGAAAACTGGGAAAAGAGATGGAAGGCAGGAGCCAACCAGGCTAAGTGTCAGGGGATGCCGGAGACCAGGGCAGCTTGTGCAACGCCCAGCTTCTCCATGCTGAGCTGAGGCCACCGTGGGTGTTTGGGGTGGGCTGTGGTGGTGGCTCTAGCAGGGCCC